CTGGCCCTCTGTGTGTTTCTATGGATAACTCTAGTTTGTCTACATCCCTCAAAGTAGCTAGAAATACAGTGTGATCATTATACAATAGTAGGCACACAAAACCTCACTATATTGCAGTTCAAGTGTCATTTGCTTTTTAAGTAACCACATCATAATTGAGCTTCTAGTCAGTTAAAATCCCTAGCTCTTCTTTACATTAATTACTTTCAGCCAAGTTTCATTCATCTTCTATATGTTGCAGTCTATTTTAGAGTCTTAAATGAAGGATTTATCCTTATCCCTGTTAAATTCAATCTTGATTTCAGCCCAGGGACCTATTGAGATTTTTTTTAAACTTGACTCTGCCATCTGGTGCAGCCCAGTTCACATTTTTATATTATTTGCTGATGGCATACTTTGTTTCAAAAGGATTTTGGTTGTTCTTAACTTAATCTTTCCTGTCTCTCCCCCACATTTCTGATAAGAATTTTTTGGATCTTATTGAGGAGATGAAGATGAGTTCATAGGCACAGTTATTAAAAATCTCCTTCCAGATTGACATTGATGTATTAATGAGTAATTAATTTTTAAAATGTAACTATCCATCCAACAGCGGAATTACTATTATACAACACTGCATCTCTCCAATTTGGAGAAAAACTCAGTGGAGTTCTATCCTTGAGGTAATTTGTTGTCTTCTTGCATAAAAGATTTTGTTACCTGCTATGTGCAGTTTTCTGAATTAATGAGAACTCTTAAACCTTTATAATCCCTTAAAACATAGTGATCCTCAAGGTCTTTACATATGTTATTTCCATTTTGTGGATTGATTCACTTAGCTCAAATAATAGATGAATAGTTCCAACCTCATTTTCTATTTTCAAACTTCCATCTTCAGGTTTATTTGCAAAATATTATTGTACTTTTAAATAGCGAATATTTTATTTCTTTGATGTATGTTTTAATGACATCTAGTCATTTTTGTTATGTATGTAGGGATAAAGTACTTCATAGAAATAGAATTCTGCACAAATATTTGGACTACAATTTGGAATGCTCTAAAAGGTTCCACAAATTTTTCTTTTTATGCCCTGGGTTTCTTTGAGGTTAATTAGTTCAAATCTCAAGGCACAATCCAGAGAGTCTAGTATAAACAAAATATGTTGACACTATGAAATAAAATTCAAGTAAGTAAGCATCTAGATCCAAACATGTTTTTTGTCTGGGGTGCCCAATTCAGTACTAATTATCCACTTATAGCTTTCATTTTTCAGGAATCTTCTAAGTTCAGGAGAGACAGATAGATCTTGTTGCCTTTCCAGCAGATTTCTCTTTATTATTGTTCCAATCATAGCTGCAAGCTTTCTGTTGGTAAGGGACATTTACTTCGTATCTTCTCTGTGTTAAAATTTGTACATATATATTTTCTGGAATTTCACAGAATGCTTGTTATCCAGCTGGAAATATCCAAAAGGCCACCAGAATACTTAAGAACACTTGACAGAGATACCCACAGGAATATACAAATCAATATAATGTTTTACAAGCTGGACCTATGAGCAATTTGAGGATGGGAGCACCCATAATCAGAATCTACTTTAGTATCAACTTTAAAACAAGCTATCAATTAATTAATTCAGCAAAAATATATATATATATTTTATATAATATATAATGCATTATTATATATTTCCTTTTATGTATCTTAACATTCTATTGGGAGAAATAGAAAAAATAGGTGAATAAAATTATTATTAAGAGCTATAAAGTAAAAAAACAAGTAGCAGTGAGAGAGAATAACTTTAGATAGAATAGCAGTGAAATCCTTTTGGGAAGTTGATATTTAAACTGATTTTAAGAATGTGGTGAAACTAGCCATGTGTAGAAAAGGATGTGTCGATTAACTTTTGTTATTTAACCAATCACCCTAAAATTTGAAACGCCAATATTCACTCACATTTTTCTGGGTTGGCGGTTTGGCCTGGGCTCAGCTGTGATGGCTTATCTCTGATCCAAGTGGTATTACCTGGGCTCACTTGTACATTTGCAGTTAGCTGATGATTGTTGGCTCTCCTCACACGTCTGGTGGGTGGCTTGTTGTCAGCATATATAATCTTATACTCACAATGGAGGTAACTGGACCATATGTCACTTATCATCAAGCAGGCCTTCCTAGGCTTGTCCACATGGTAGTGGACTCAGTGTTCCCAAGAATAGCAAGGGAATCTCTATTTGTATCATGTTTACTGATGATTCATTGGCCAAAGCAAGTCACATGGCAGATCCCAAATTCAGAGGGCGGAAAAATAATCTCCCCATCTTGATGGAATGCGTACGGGTGCACATACAGAGATAGGAAGAATTTTATCTATTTTGTAATCAACCACATGGAGTAAGGGCTTTTTAGGAGAAGGGAAGTATTTTGTCTCGAGGCCCAAAAGGCAAGAAAGTGTTTGGTGCATTTGTTGAGCTGGAAAACCAGTGAATTGGAGAATAGCTAAATATTGAGGATAAAAATTAAAAAAAAATTAAAGCTGGAACTGGATCATATAGAGTTCTGTAGACCATTGTAAGGAGTCTGATCTTATTCCAAATGTAAGAAGGTGGCATTAAGTAGGTGGCAAGAAAGAAGTCCTGGTCTGCTTAGGAAATACTGCTGGAAGATTAAAGAAGATAGGTCAGGAAAGCATCCTAGATTCGGCTAGGTTGTTAGTGACTTATACAAAAGTGGTTTCAGCAGAGTATTGAGAGCAGAAGCCAGGTTCTTTCTCTCCCCAAAGCCCCAGTACATAGTTGTATATTCTAGTTGTAAGTCCTTCTAGTTCTTCTACTTGAGCTGCCACCATAGCATGGCTACTGACAGACGAGTGGTGTGGTTCCACTCCCAGGAACTGAACCCGGGCCACCAAAGCAGAGTGCACCAAACTTTAAATGCTCGACCATCAGGGCTGGCTCAAGACACTCTTGAATAATAACAAGATGAAAGAATGTCCTCTGCCCGATATTGAGGCTTATTATAAAGCTGTAGTAAGAGATTGTAGTTATGGCATAGGAATACACAGTTAACTAATGGAACAAAATAAAGGCCTCAGAAGCCAACCCATGTATGTTTGGCCTCTTAATTACCACTGTGGCACTTCAGAGCAGTGGAGAAAAGGAAAGTCTTTGCAGTAAGTGGGTTATACCAATTAGTAAGTACATAAAGAATAAAAATGAAATTTACCCCTAATGTACACCATGCATGAAAATCAATTTCAGGTAGATTATAGGATTACCAAATATTATGAAATACAAAATAATGCTATCTTAAGACTTTGGAAAAGGGTAAGAGTTCTTAAATAAGACACAAAAAGTACTAACCATAAAGGAAAAATGTTCTTTAAAATTAAGAACGTCAGGGGCCAGCCTGGTGATGTCGTGGTTAAGTTCATGTGCTCTGCTTGAGCAACCTGGGATTTGTGGGTTCAGAACCTGAGTGCAGACCTACACACTGCTCATCAAGCCGTGCTATGGAAGCATCCTACATACAAAATAGAGGAAAATTGGCACAGAACGTTAGCTCAGGAACAATCTTCCTCACCAAAAAAATAAATAAATAGATAAATAAAATTAGGACTTCATTTCATCAAAAGACACCATGAAAAGAGTGAAAAGCAAACCAGAGGAAAGGAAGAAAATAGTTGCAACGTGTTTAACTGGTAACAACAAAAAATAGATTAGTAAAAACGCTTACAGGTCTATAAGAAAAATCCAAAAACCCAGTTAAAAATAAATGGACTAAAGACTCAAATATGTCCTTTAGGAAAGAGAAATTACCAACAAGTGGCAGAAAGAGGCTGGCAGAGGGGAAGCAAAGCCATCTGGCTAAATCAAATAATTTTATCCAATAGAAAGGTTTTTCTGTATTCTCAAGGCTCTGTTTGCCTCATTTACATAACTTTTACATTTCGTGTAACTTACAAATATTTATCAAACCCAAGGCCCACTCAAATATTGATCATTGATCTCCATTTTTCACAAACATCAAAGTGAGGAGAAAAGATTACATGATGTAGATTCTCATTATGCCTCAGGGGACTGAGTCCAGGCCTGGTTTGAGGAAATGTTTCTCAAGGCTCTAGGAAAAACTACAGGATCTGCAAAGAAGGACAGGGAGAAGGAGTTGGGGAGAAGGGGAGGAGGATAGCTGTGGCTAACATTCATTGAATATTTACTAGATGCTAGGCACTGCAGTAAATGAATTTACCTCATTTTAATCCTCACAGCATGGTCACAGATGAGGAAATTGTGGGGTAAGTAACAGGAATTCTGCTACCTGACCTTGTGCTGCTAACCTCTGGCTACCTCTTTCCTAACTACCTCTTTATAGCCTCCTTCTTAACTGTTCCATTTGGGAGGGGGAAGGGGCTCACCATGTTTCTCAGCTGGAGGGCTCATCCCAGAGTCACAGTTTCTTTGCCTTGTCTACTTCCTGACATACCTTAGGCTTTGGCCTTTTCTTAGCTTTGAGGTCCAGAAAGGTGCAAAGTATAGAATAGAGAATGCTGAATGCACAGTGTGAAGATGAAGTATGATATTCTCTTGCTGTCACTTTTCATCACATGTAGATGCCCAGATAAGCCTCCATAACCTTGTGACAATCAGCCTATTTGCTGTGGTGGGAGTGGAATACGTGGGAAATCTATAATCCTGGGACTGGTACATCTAACGCTTACTTAACTAGGGCTGGTTAAATAACGATACAGGTATACTTAATGTGTTTAGGTATATTTTAGCAGTTAGCATTATATAAAAATACTAAAAAGAATAATTAAGTCTTCTGAGTTTTTCACGTATGTTTTCAGTTTCTTCTCACTTTGCAGGGTAGCATTTCTGTCCCTTTGAATATGTCACAGAAACAGATAGTATGTGCTTCTCATAAATATTTTTATTCATTTTAACAAAATATAAAGTCAGTCTGTCTTTCTCAAGGAATCAATCGCATACTGAACTAAGGAAAATGTTTCTCTTATATTTTGCAGACTTTGAATAATGAGATGAGTACAGATGATGACAATGAATGTATAGAAGAAAAGGAAAGCTACATCTGTGCAGTGTGTCTGGATGTTTATTTCAACCCATACATGTGTTACCCTTGCCACCACATCTTTTGTGAGCCCTGCTTACGGACTCTTGCCAAAGACAATCCTGCAAGCACTCCCTGCCCACTGTGTCGGACAATTATTTCCAGAGTCTTTTTCCAGACAGGTAACTGTTCTCTTTCATTAACATATTGCCTGATTATTCTGTCTGCCTCTTTGTTCCAGTTCTAAAGGTACTTTATAAATTATTATGAGAGAGTTATTGAAAATCATATACAGCATAATTTGTTACTCTCCACTTTATTAAACAGTGCTTGCCCAACTCCTAGAAATGTGTTAAAATCATTGAATCATGAATGAGAATAGGTCCTTATCTCTAATCTTATACTCTATGCTGAGATCTTTTCTAAAATATCCTAACTAGTTGTTGTTCAGTATTTACTTGGACATCTCCAGTGTTAAGAATGTTTCATTAAAATTTGAAGCAACCTTGTTGGTTATTTATTCCTTTTAGCCACCTTCCACTACTACTCATTCTTTGGCCATTGTTATTTCCACTGGAGTCTCAGAGAATGTATCCATAAATATCTGAGGACAACTATTATACCTTTCTCCAAAACTCCAAATCCTCTCAACTTTCTTTCCATTCTTAAGGTCTTCCTTCTTGAACGAGAAGAAAGTAAAATTGGAGGAAATATTTGTTTTCCTAAGTATCATGTGAAGATGGAATATAACACAGTATTTAAAACATTCTAATGGGGAGAGGAAAAACTAATGAATGTAGAACATAGAGAACTGCTAAAGAAAAATGGGAAAAGTAATAGAGATAGGCAGAGCTAATATTTATTGAGTGCTCTACTGTGTGCTAAATTTTAGGGGAAAAAATTTCTCTCTCTGCTTTCTCACTTCAACCATAGAAGAGCCAAATGAGAATCAAAGTATGTACCTCATTGATAGTAAAACTGAAGAAAACACATGGCACATTTTTATTCCCTGAAAGAAAATACAAGGATCCACCTGCAAGGAAGAATCAGATTATGAAAATAAGCTTCGAGTACTCTAACGCAACCAGCTGCGTGAAGGCTCGCAAACCTGGTTTACAGGCTCAGTAATCAAACAATGAAGAGAAAGTAATGATATGCCTCTTTGATCTGCCTTGTGCATCTAGAATGAAGCACAAAATCACTGCGCTGAGCTTGCACAGACCCGGAGACGAAAGGACATGCCAAGCATAGGGACTCTACCCAATAGAGAAATGTGGTCAGGGACACCAGGCTGTCAGCAATCTCACCAGGCAAATTACTCTTCCCTTCATGGAGAAGAGTGACTAAGAGGTGGCCAGAGGGAAGGAAGCAATTCCATTAAGAGGGCAGAAGCTTACTGGAAGTTTCTCTCTGGCTTACATTGAAGTGGGGAAAAAAAGTTTCTTTTCTAATACCAGATCCCTTGCTGGGTGCTTTGGAGTGAACAAAAGAAGAGCCACCAAAGACAGCTTTTTCTTAGTGTTGTCTCTGACTATCTGTGCAAGAAAGCCTGTTTTGATACAAAGCATCTAGGTGGTGTACATAGTGATAGACAGATGTTGTCCCTGCCTTCCATGATCTAATTTAATGCTGATAAGGAGTTTTGAATTGCTTTCGTTATTATCTTAAAACAATAATGAGTCGAGTCTCTCTTGGTTCATTTATCAAACAACAAAGTCATATTTTCCAAATCAGTTCTTCTAAAATAAATCATTTTGGGAATACTTATTCCAATGGAGACTGCATTTGGTTGTGTACTGTCATTTAGAAGCTGATAATAGTAATAGAAATATCCTACTTAATTATTCATACCCTACCTCAAAAGAATTTGTGGTGTTTTAAAAGATATATTCAATGAAAGGCAGGATAAGGAAATTTATTAATTGAAATGGAATATAAAGACCAGATGAGGGTGGATGGGCAGATACACAAGCTATATGGCCATCCATAGTAACTACATTTAGATGAAGTATTTGGTTTTAAATATTCTGGCTACCTAAGGAAAAGTAAAATTAAGTACACAGTTAAATGATTCTCATGATCCATGAAAAATAATACCAATTCCTAAAGGTAAGCAAAAGTTTTTTTGGCACTTCAAAAGGAATTTTTTATGTGATTTTTCCTCTAGGGCATATTGAGAGACGGAGTAGGCAATGTCCTCAAAAACATCCTCAGAGCAAATACAGTATAAGGTTTTCTACCATTGTGCCTTATGGTATTATTTGATAAAAGTTGATGAAATATCAGAGTACAAATTAGGGAAAATAACATTGCTAGTAGCAAAAAAATATGGTCTAGTTTTCTTATAAAAATAACTTAAAATTATATAAGTAATAAATTTTGTTATAGAAAAATCAAGACATATAAATAAAATTATAAGCTCAAAATCCTCCACATTGCTGCAATTTAAAGACCATATTTAGTGAGTGTCCTTCCAGAATATTTTATATACATATACTTAATCATTTTTCTTTTTTACAAAAAAAGAGATCATATTTTACATAAGACTTATAGCTTGCTTTGTTTTACTTAAAATTCTTGTGATATATCATGATCTACTTGAGTCAATATGGGACATTAAGTTTATTATTTATTTAATGATATATGTGGATAAATATTTGCACACTGAGTATTTCCTTGTGGTAGATTTCTAGAAATAGAATTGTAGTTAAAGCCTGTGTGTGTTTTAAGGCTGGGTATTTGTTGCAAAGTTATTGTAAGCAGTGGTATACAAGTGCTTATTTTCTCTACATTCTGGACTATCCTTTTGTTCCTTTTTAAATCTCTTACTATGCCCTTTGCTGATTTTTCTTTTAGTGTGTTCATCTTTTTCTTGTTTATTAACAAGAGTATTTCTTTAAATTAGTGTCAGCTTTTGTCATATGTGGCAAATCATTTTCCCATTTGTACTTTAAGTTTATTGTATTTTATGAATGTGCAGAACTTCTATGTTTTTATGTATCTCATATAGCAACCTTTGCCTTTATTATTTCTAACTTCAAAGTTAGGTATTAAAGGCTTTATCCACTACAGAATTATGTAGACATTCTCTTTACCTATATTTATTTTAGGTTTTCATTTTGTCCTCTTTTCCCCATATTTAACCTCAGTCTATTTATTATAGTACATCGTTTGGTTAAGAATAGAGTACCTTTCTTCCATGTCCCTAGGCATTTATCCTAAACATTAGCTGAACAATCCATTTTTCCTATGCTGATTCAATTGCCTTTCTTTAAAAAGTAATAATTACTAAAACGTATGTGTGTTTCTTGGCAGCTGTTCTTTTCCATTCATATTTCTATCTTGTCCTATACCACTACTTCACTTTTATAATTATTCCAGCTTGTATGTTTTAATAACTCACAAGTAGGTTAAACTTATAAGTTATTTGGGGATAATTCGCATTTTTAATTAATGTTGTTATAACCTCGAATGATTATTATGCTATATCACTTCTCATTAAATTTCTGTAATTCCCTTCCTAATGACTCTGCACAATTCATATTAGCTTTATGCCTATATATTTTCATTGTTGCTATTGTATGTGAGATTGTTTTCCTCTTCTGGTTTCAGATGCTTTTGTTGATATTTTGAGAAAGTTAGTTTCCAATCTTAGACTATTTTGTTAACCTTACTGAACCCTGAGAGTTATTTATTAAACAAATGAGTTAATCTTCTCAACTACCTAATGTCACCATTTCAATTGTGTAGAAACCAGAGGACGGTTATTGTCAACCGTTAAAGTGGAAAAGCTGTCATTTTCTAAAGGAAGTAAAGATATTTGGCCAATGAATAAGGGGTTGGTGGTAACATAATTCTATTTTAGTAGCTCAGTGGATAGAGAGAGAATGAAATCCCTCCCAGATTTATTCCATAGAGTGTGCTTAGTAAAGTAATGATTTTAAACCTGAGCTATAACATTCACTAGTTATGTGACCTTACTTAATACTGTTGGGTATGATCTTGACAAAGTTGTTAACACTGTTAGAAGTTGAGAACTTGAAGTGGGAGAAGATCTGTAAGAGAAAAAGTACAAGGCATTAGTATCTATTTTTTTAATGGAAGTCAAGATACACTGTTCAAAGTTGATAGAGAAACAGAACAAATTGTAGTAGACGCTATTGGTTGCTAATTAGTATCCATTATATCCTTCTTCCTAACATAACCTTGAGTTTTATTCAGCTGTTCAACTCTCTCAACGTAGACCAGGAGCTTCCTGGGTAGCAGACTGCATCCTCAGCTCCTTTGCCAGAGATTAGTTCACAGTTGGACATGTGGTTCATTTCTGACCAATGAGATAAGAAGAAAGTTTTTCTTTACTCTTGAGATATGGATGGAAAAGCCGTTTTCTGCCCCATTGGACATTAACAGGAAAGTGTGTAACAGGGATAGTTACTGGCAGCCATCTTATGAGAAGCAGGGAACCAGCTTAGCATGAAGCCTTGATTTTTGACAGCAGACTGAGGAAAGAAATGAGCATGGGATCTTGATGACGTTGTTTAACCACAGCCTTGATGTGTTAACCACAGTCTTGATAACATTGTTTAAGCACTTGAGTTCGCCAAGTTTGAAGCCCACTCTACCTTTGGCTTTTCTGTTACATGAAATATTAAATTTACTAATTGACTAAGACAGTTTGAGTAAATTTTCTGTTAGTTTCAACCAAGAGCATCCTAACTGACAAAAGCATACTAATAACAAAGGTAGTCAATAAAGAAACTAAAAACGAGTAATATGACTTGAGAGGTGAGAAGAGAAGAAGATAATGTAAAAGACCTAAATCATTTTAGAATGAAGTCAATACCTAATATTTCAAGTTGATAAATCAAGAAATATTAAAGAGGATTTCTGCAGTAGTGGTGTGAGAAGCTCAAAGGATCCTCACCCCAGCAAAACAGCTATTTAACTGGTGAAAGTGGTTTTAAAAAAAAATTAAAGTCTCTGGAAACTTTCCTAAGGATATACAAGTAGAGAAGCATTTATTTTTTATTAAATTTATTAAAATCTACCACTATTCTTGGTAAGAACATCAGGAACTTGTAGCATTTGGATATCAACAGTAAAAAAGAATGAATTTGGAGCCCTACCTCACACTAGACATGCATACACACACACACACTAAAATGGAGCAAAGGCCTAAATG